CTTATGGTTATTAGAGGTATGTATTTACGGAACTAAAAACCTTAATAGCACTTCGTCCAGCTCAGGAATCTAACCAAAGACACCTTTGTGAGTGAATCCCAAAAATCGGTGTTCGTAATTGCGACCGCTAGGTATTATTGTTAAGGTCCTCTTTTACATGACAAAATAAGGAGAAAATATTTTCCATATAAACAGTGAATTCAAGTAAACTCAACATCACTCCATCCTTCTTCGATTTATTACATAACACCTTTTATTCCCGATTGGGTAGGCTTACTACAACACTTAATACCACTGTACAATGTAACACCCACTTTTCACGATTTATGTTATGAGTCCTATGTAATAGGAGGTGAGCCTATTTCTATATACCGTATACCTATTTCTATATATATTCAGTAGTAGTAATCTAAAAAAAAACTCAGTAGTTAGTAAACTACTGAGTTTTTTTTAAAACCCGGTAATACTTTGCCCCACTAGACAATCGAATCCGAGGCCCCTTGCCTTGCAGTCGCATTGACGCCCACCCGGCTCTTGTCTTCTCGATTTCAATTTATCATATTTGTATAATCCAAATTCAACCTTAATAAAGTCGAGAATGAATTCAAGTTGACATCCTGAAGTACCAGTAAGTTGGCAAAAAGACAAAGATTGTAAATATCACGCTGACACTCCATGCTGATACCCACCTAGGGTAGTAGATATCATCCTATGCACTGCACGATATACGATAAATGTAATAACAATTTTATGTAACGGGTCATGAATTTCATTTGTGCACAGAACATGCATGTATGATCTGTGCAATGAGTCAAATGGTATTCTCAATTTTGACCATTAAATGACAGCCGACCGAGAAAATAGAAAATTATGACGTGTCAGTAAGTTTTTCATACATTCAGTTTTTTATTCTCTTGTCATATAAATCGTAGTATATATATAAAGTATACTTTATACGTATATTTGCTTTGTAGGTCTGGTTAAAGAGTCTATATTCAGTTTGCCTACATTTGTAATTATTAGGGGGTGAATCTATTGCCCCACCCACGTAAGGTATAATTTCAGTTTTTTTATGGAATGAGCCGGTAAACGAGCAGAGGGATCGCCTGATGGTAAGTTTAATCGGCGCCACCCATGAACACCTGAAACACCAGAGGCGTTACAAGTGCGTTATCGGCCTTTTAGAAATTGAAAATTTGAGGATTATTGGGGATTCAGGGATTGGGGAGAGGTGTAACTGGACCCCCGGTAACCTCACTCACACGACGAAACACAAAGCAAGTGTTGTTTCACGTCGGTTTTCTGTAAGGCTGTGGTATCACTCCGGTCGAGCCGGCCCTTTCGTGCTGAAGCATGGCTCTCCCACACTTAAAACTATAATAACTATAACTAATCTTACGAAAGCAGTCTTCATTTTACTCAGTACAACTGTACTGATTTATACCAACCCGTTAAGGAAAATGAAGCCGGTTTACCATAATATTATGCAAGTACTTATACACGTACTAGATAATCTAAGACATAATATTATCTTATATGACAAGTCCACGTGCGGACTAGCGGGTTACAAATACTTCTGATAGCTCAAGTGGACCGTTCCCTTTAGATAAATAATCTCATTTGAATTATATAAAATGTAAATGTATTGATAAACTTGTTTAGTGATAGAAGCTGGTGATATGAAGCTGCTAGTGGTGTTGAGGTAAACTGTAGTGAATGTGACATTAATATTTATTTAAGTATTTATTTTTTTTTAAACGTGATCCTAATCTATGATTTTCTTGCAAGTTATGAGTATTGAGTCTGTATCCAAAACCTTTCTAGACTCAGAATAAGTATGACAATGTTTCTCTACACTCCTCAAGGACAGAGTACAGAATTTTAGTTTTCTGTTTCTTTTTTTTTAATGGCATAAGCCGGTTAACGAGCGTACGGATCACCTGATGGTAAGCAATCGGCGTTGCCCATGGACACCTGGAACACCAAAGGCGTTACAAGTGCGTTACCGGCTTTTTGGGGATTAGGAGTTTGAGGATCGTTGGGGATTCAGGGATTGGGGAGATTGGGGAAGGAGAGGGTAATTGGGCCTCCGGTAACCTCACTCAAGCGTTGCTTCATGTCGGTTTTCTGTGAGGCCGTGGTATCACTCCGGTCGAGCCGGCCCATTCGTGCCGAAGCATGGCTCTCCCACACTTATCAGTTGTATGTGATCTGTTGCTTGAAAACCTGTTAAACCACACGGAATTATCTAAATTTTTATCATCAGTGCAATATTTAGAAACCCACATTAGTACCGAATGCAAAAGAATGATAATCCGCTTACATATGTATATTATTGTGTTACTGTTACAGTTTGGTGATAGTAGCCATACAGGGCGCCAACGTGAGACAGCAGCGTCGGTTCCCTGATGAATTCCTCTTCGGGGCCGCTACAGCCGCATATCAGATTGAAGGAGCTTGGAATGAAGATGGTAACCCCTACTTAAAGACAAGAAAGACAAACATTCCCAAAACTTTTTGTACAATATGTTTCTTTTTCCAGGCAAAGGAGAAAACATCTGGGATCACATGATCCACAATAACCCAAATGTTATCAGAGATGTGACCAATGGCGACGTCGCTGCCGACTCCTACCATAACTACAAGCGTGATGTCGAAATGATGAGGGAGTTAGGCCTGGACGCTTACAGGTTCTCCCTGTCCTGGCCTCGGATCCTCCCTACAGGCATGGCCAATGAGGTCAACCCTGCTGGCATCGCTTTCTACAACAATTATATCGATGAGATGTTGAAATATAACATCACTCCAATGGTGACCCTCTACCATTGGGATCTTCCTCAAAAGCTGCAAGATTTGGGAGGTTTCGCCAATCCCCTCATCAGCGACTGGTTCGAAGATTACGCGAGGGTTGTCTTCGAAAACTTCGGAGACAGAGTTAAGATGTTCATCACTTTCAATGAACCCAGAGAGATCTGCTACCAGGGCTATGGAGGTGATCTGAAGGCTCCCATCTTGAACTCCACTGCTATGGGAACCTATTTGTGTGGCAAGCATCTTTTGATAGCCCATGCTAAGGCCTACCACATGTATAATAAGGAGTTCAAGCCAACTCAAGGTGGACAGTGCGGTATTACCATCAGTGTGAACTGGTTTGGTCCAGCCACGGACTCTGCTGAAGACCAAATGGCTGCAGAGATCAAGAGACAAGGCGAGGTACTTCAATTTTTATCACGGTATCACTTGTGGATTTGCCGTATATGCCATTATTTTTTAGGATATCAGAGAATAATGTAAGCTTAGAAATCAAGGTTAAAGAATAAAATTCAAATGGAGTTTAGTTTAACGGAAATGTTAAATAGTAGGTTAAACTGTCAAACACCAAGCGGTCACCGGTGACCGCAACCTATTGTTCTATTATTGAGTCTACAAAACCGGTATTCGACGAGTTAAATTAATTCTATTTCTTCATTTTTCAGTGGGGTATTTACGCCCATCCAATCTTCTCATCTGAGGGAGGATTTCCAAAGGAGTTCTCAGAAAGAGTGGCAGAGAAGAGTGCTCAGCAAGGATACAGGCGCTCTCGCTTACCGGAGTTTACAGAAGAAGAGAAGGCACTGGTGAAGGGAGCATCAGACTTCTTTGGAGTGAACCATTATACTGCAAGACTGGTGTCTGCTACATTGTATAAGGAAGCTGTTCCAGTCCCTTCTCTCTTAGATGATATGGATGTCGGTCATAATGCACCTGATAACTGGGCTACTTCGGCCTCTTCTTGGCTTGTCGTAAGTAATATTTAGTTGATTTTCTACGGAAACTTTATCTTATTCGTTGTATTGCAAATTCGATGTCGGGAGTTAACAGAGTTTTTATTGGACTGTGGGTTATGTTCAGTTGTTAAAATATTGTACCGCATTTGGCCAGAGACATTCACAAGTAAGGCCACATTTTGAAAAGGTGACATCAATCTGATTAATTATGATTTAAATAATGATATAGAAGTATTTTTTGAGGAATGAAATTAATTTTCTGGTAAATTTCTATGTCCGCTTTAAATCACCATTTGAAAAATGTTGATCGACAAAAGCGAAGACAATTTTTTTTTATCATTTCATCATCCCTTTTGTCGTCTGCATGGCGCCCATCATGTGCTTTCTGTGTGCTTTATAATAAAACTACGAAATACAACAAGCTATTATCTATTATTCAACCACATCCACCACTTCAACAATAACATCATAACATAACATCGAGCCTTTTATCACCGAACCGGTAGGCAGCGATGCACATTACGGCACTTACAATGTAACACACACTTTTCACTATTTATGTTATGAGTCCCATGTAATAGTGTGTGAGTCTATTGCCACATACCGGGCACAATTTTAAACAACGTGCTTGTTTTAAAAAAAGCCAGCAGTGCTTTGCCCGAGCGACTCGGGAATCGAACCCGACACCCTTTGCCCGCCAGTCGCTTTTACGACCACTCGGCCAACGAGGCAGTCAAAATATTTAAATAGCTAATAAAAAAACCTCTGATTAACCATATCTCCATTTTCAGTTGGCTCCAAACAGCATCTTCAACGCTTTAAAGCATTTAAAAGAGAGGTACAATAACCCGAAATTCTACGTGACTGAGAATGGCTGGTCTACTTACTATGAGACTGGTCTGATGGATGACGGCAGGGTCACCTACTACAGAGCGTCGATGGAGAGCCTCCTAAACTGCTTGGATGATGGCATCAACCTCAAAGGGTACATGGCTTGGAGTCTGATGGACAATTTTGAATGGATGCAGGGTTACGTGTAGGTATTTTTGATCTGATATTAGTATTTAGATAGGGTCAAACTTTACCAAGAATATTGATTATAAGGAGGTATTTTAAGCAGTTTAAGTGTGGGAGATGCTTCGGCCTGAATGGATCGGTTCGACTGGAGTGATATCACGGCCTCACAGAAAACCAACGTGAAACAACGCTTACGTTGTGTTTCGTCATGTGTTTGCGGTTACCGATGGCCCAATTACCTCCGCGCTTGTCAAATGGGTTATTTAAAATGATCAGGTTTATCAGAAATCATTGATGCTTCGTTTAACTTTCATTCTGTCAAACTCAAACTCAAAACTCAAAAGCATTTATTTCAAGCAAAATCGTCAAGTACCGTCATTAAAGACACAATTATAGAACAATAGGTTGCGGTCACCGGTGACCGCTTGGTGTTTGACAGTTTAAACCACAATTTGGTACTTTTGAAATGTCAACAAATATAAAATAAATAATAGTATATCAGTCTGTCCGTCAGTGAAACTAGGCGCTCGTTCCAAAATGTCGATTCGAGTGGAGAAGAACGAGGAAGAAACTCTATTCGTTATTTTTTTAAAAGAAAAGTCTGTTTTACATTGCTCTGATTCTACATATTCCAATATTGTACACACATGAGACATACCTGACGCATCATACTAATAACAGAACGTACTAAAATAAAAAACAAAACCAAGAGAAAACAAATATCTTCAGTCTGACATGGTCCTCACATATGTATACTGACAATCCATATAAAAACTGTCTCGAGAAAATCATAAACTTTCAAAAAATTTCATTCTTGCCTTATAATTAAAATGTAACCATTTCTATCCCACAGTGAGCGTTTCGGTCTGTATCAAGTGGACTTCTCAGACCCTGCGCGCACGCGCACCCCCAGGAAGTCAGCGTTCGTGTACAAGCACATCATCAAACATCGCGCCGTGGACTATGAATACGAGCCAGAGAGCATGGTCATGACTATCGATGAGGGACATTGAAGATTCTTAACTTAATGATGAGATCAAATACTGTTTTATATTAAAACTGAATTAAACATGTTTCGTTATGTTTTGTTTAAATTTAGACTAAGTGACCAAATAAAAACCTTATAATGTAGGTACCTATTGTGTCTTTTTCAATTATTCTTTTTCTCACGTAGCATGGGCAGTAGTTTATCTTTATATTTCTTTGGCATTCAGCTGTACCGAACAAAAATGTACAGCGGACTTAGGAAATTAATTAGAAAAATGCCAGAAAATTAATCCCCAAAAAGTCGTTTTACAATATAGAAAGAAAGAAAAATCATTTATTCGACAATAGGCACGCACACAGATACAAATTAAACTGTCAAACACCAAACGGTCACCGGTGACCGCAACCTATTGTTCTATAATTGTGTCTACAAAACCGGTACTCGACGAGTTAAAATACAAAATTAAAAAAGAAAATAACAAATAAATACACTTATTTATACAAATATAGAAAAAAAAATATCAGATCGATCATCAATCACACACTGTAAAACTTCATTAACTCGTCGAGTACCGGTTTTGTAGTTTAAACTTTCAGTTTAAAACAAGTAAAAACCGTCAAATACGAACACGAAGGACACGAATTTATAAAGATGTAGTTTTTTTTTTTTTTTTTTAAGGGGGGAAAATCATCGAATGACTGCCCCCGCCTGGGTGAGGCGGGAGGGAGTGTCAGACTCTTACTGACTAAAAACCACCCCGTTCCTTCTCCTGCACGTCGAGCCGGAGCCCCGGTTACCCGTTAGGTTCTCCGCGACTCCGAATCGGCATCGGCCCTATTGGGCCCCATCTGTGGTGGTCTGATGGCTCTTTGAGGCGCGCGCGGAACGCGACGCGCCGTACGCTCGGGTCTGTTTCTGGTCGGACGGGGAGCCACCCATGCTCGCCGTCCGCAGGCCCGCGCTTACGGTGGCCGGAGATCGTCCCGCGATCCCCGACGCCCGGTGTGTCCTTCGCGATGGCTGGGTTGCGAGGAGGCAGCGCTTCGCTGCCTCACGCGTCCCGCCTCCTCCTTAGCTAGCATGACTGCTTCGCAAAAGGAGGAGACGGCATCCCAATCCCCCTCGCTCCGCATCATGGCCTGCACTAGGCCCGGACGCGAGAGGTCGCCATCGCCGATCACTTCCCTGAGGACGCGGCGGTGCTCAGCCCACGAAGGGCATTCTCCGACCGTGTGTTCCACCGTGTCCTCAGGGCGGTCCTCGCAGTGATGACACCCGGGCGTTTCCTCCCGCCCCATCAGACACAGGTACCTCCCGAAACTGCCATGTCCGGTGAGGACCTGCGTCAGGCGGTAGGTGAGGACGCCGTAGCGTCTCTCAAGCCACTCCTCAAAGAGGGGACTTACCGCTGCGATGGCAGCGAGCCCAATAAAGATGTAGGTAGGAGTGAAATTAGGCCGTCTCTTTCGCTCACTGGAAAGCACCGACCACCGCCCGCAATTGTTCACTCGGCGCTGCGCGAGCACTATTTCGCGCGCTACGAATGTGCGCGAAATTCATAATAATTTAACAATTATTTCTAATTGCACGCATCTCACTGATGAAGGCCTGGCGGGCCGCAGGTTGAGTATAGCTGGATTGATGCAACAATCCTCAAGTTTTGCTCATAACAATATAATTAGCAGTTTTGCTTCAATTTTTGTGACGCAAAATCGTAATCGTCACTAAAATTTATTCTAAGAACTGAAGATCAAACTTAACTCGTCGAGTACCGGTTTTGTAGACACAAATATGAACAATAGGTTGCGGTCACCGGTAACCGCTTGGTGTTTGACGGTTTAAACCAATTTTAATGAATTTTGAACTTAAAACTTGGAAGTTATCAACATGTATAACACAACGCCATCTATGTTTTGTCCCAATGAAGTAAAATCTATGATTTCAAGTTACGAACCTTACAGAATGTTTTTGAATAATTTAGATAGGTGGCGTTATATAACATTATAGATTATTTATTAAGCTAAGAACATTATGCTAATATGCCATAAAGAGGTAAGCACTTGCTTGTTAATGCGAGTATAATCAGATGCCAAATAGGTAGGATAGCGAATCGAATGAACTTTAACAATACTGCTTTCAATAGAAACACTTTCTTTAAGACAACAAATCACTAAAATCAGAACACCAAAGACTGTAATCAACATAAATTAGATAAAATGATAACCCGACCAATTTTCATAGAACACACGATGTCGCTACCATCTTTGTAACTTTGCTCTACGGCGACTCAATTTTGTTCGGACGTGAATTAGTTCCAGTTTTATCCGCTTCATTCTAAATTTGTCAGCGCTGCCGTGGGTAATTGCTGCAAATTATCTAATCGTTGATAATATAAATGTGTGAACTAAAGTAGTTCAGTATACCAAAGAGGATGCACGTTCTAGCTCTATTGTTATTGAAGTAAGATATTTTTAAATGAAATTGAGTTTTAAACGTGTATCGTGTTAGTTTAAACTTGTTTGCCATTTTGTGGATAAATGTAGGATCTTTTTGTTGAAAATGTGTTCTATATTCTTGTGTTATAGTTTAAATTTGCTTGTTTTTTTCTGGGATTGCGGTGATTTGTGAAGTGTATACCTAATTAAAAATAATAAGAATAATTTTATTTCTTAAAGAGAAGTATTAATTGTAATGATATTATGAAAAAAACATAGTCTTAAAGTCTCTCAGTGATGTTTTCTTTTTCGATTGTAATAATTTAGATAATATTAATGATCTCTATTTATTTATATCGGAGAGGTCCATATTTAACAGTGGTCTTCTAGCTAAATTGTGATGATAATGATGGTGATGACTTCTAAACATTTTATCAAAAACCACTCAATAAAATTGTAAGGATACCTTATACCAAAGTTGTCGCGGAGAACCTAACGGGTTACCAGGGCTCCGGCTCGACGTGCAGGAGAAGGAACGGGGTGGTTTTTAGTCAGTAAGAGTCTGACACTCCCTCCCGCCTCACCCAGGCGGGAGCAGTCATTCGATGATCCCCCCCCCCATAAAAAATCCTATAAAGTTAATTTACGAGCAGTAGCGTTAAAGAATTATCATCTTCCAGTCTCCTGGTTGGTTCCGATGGCTGGACGGATACCAGGAAGAGAACGTTCCCTCAGAACTTTCTTTTTGGAGCAGCATCTTCAGCGTATCAAGTGGAGGGGGCTTGGAACGAAGACGGTAAGGGTTACTTACATTTTGGTTGTAAAATCTAAAAATAGGTACCTAGTATTCTGTAGAGGTAATAATTAATTGCTAGAAAAAATATTGCTACAGAATAAAAGATGAGATTTCTTCGTCATCCTTACATAGGTATGTATATGGAATGATTTGTCGTCGAAGGTATTTTCGAACTGAAACTTCCTTCAAACCTTTAAGACAAAAGCATATTCCTTTTTAAAAAGCCGGCAACACACCTGTGATTGTTCTGGTGTTGTGAGTGTCCATGGGCGACGCCGATTGCTTACCATCAGGTAATCCGTCTGCTCGTTAACCGGCTTATCCCATAAAAAAGAGAATATATAATTATACCATACTCAAAAACATCACATTGATGAGTTATGATACATACTATATACACTACTAGCGACCCGCCCCGGCTTCGCACGGGTGCAATATGTATGTTACGGGTAATGCTAGAAGGTGGAGTAAACCTAGGTTTATCCGGGTTGACTTAGTATTACCCAAGGTACTTGGGTAAAGTCCGAATAATAAGTAAAATAAATTTTAATTCGAGGTTTACCCATACTCACCTAGGTCTACCCAACTCTGGCTGGGTAATGTAAAAAATTCGTCTAATTAATTAGTGAAAACAAAATCCAAGGGCATTTTAAACATTTATTATTTAAAAATCATACAAAGCCGAACGTAATCGCTTGAAAAACATAAACTTAATAGCAAAAAGTAATAGCGGTCGTTGTTATTAAAATTGAAATTATTTATTTGAGCAAGATAAACTGCTGTGACATTTTGAATTGCAATATTTTTCGGACTTTATCCAAGAAGCTTGGGTAATACTAAGTCAACCCGGATGAACCTAGGTTTACTCCACCTTCTAGCATTACCCGTAACATGTATATACATACAAACCTTCCTTAAGAATCACTCTATCTATTAAAAAAAACCGCATTAAAATCGGTTGCGTAGTTTTAAAGATCTAAGCATACATACGGACATACAGCGAAAGCGACTTTGTTTTATACTATGTATTGATATACGCTTTTCGTATCAACATGTTTGTACAATAAATTAATATACTAAATACATATTTATTTAGATTACGCATTACTCTTTGCAATTTTAAATGATGACAATGAGTTTCAAAATTTTAATAGCACTGACGTATACATGTATGTCTTCAGTAGTAAATCCCACTTATATAGATACTTAAACAAATATAGCCTCGCATCTGTCTGGGAGACAATGAAATTGCAAAATAAAAGCAAGTGATCATTATAACGCAGTTCATTTTTGAATGGCATTGGTTTGTAAATATAACTCTTCTAATACTTTACCTAAACTGTCAAACACCAAGCGGCGGTGTTTGACAGTTTAACTCGTCGAGTACCGTCATTATAGACACAATTATAGAACAATAGGTTGCGGTCACCGGTGACCGCTTGGTGTTTGACAGTTTATATATGTATTTCACTTAAGCGATGTTAAGGGTATGAAAATAAAATAATTTTCTATATGTACCTACTCCTAATAATATTATAAATGCGCAAAATGTGTATCTGTGTGTGTGTTTGATCCGCAAAAACTACTGATCAGATTTAGATGAAATTTGGAACAGCAGTAGATTATGGTTTGGAATTAAACATCTGCTATATCATTACTGACTGCCTCGTTGGCCGAATGATCGCAAGTGCAACTGCTGGGCAAGGGGTCTCGAGTTCGATTCCCGGGTCGAGCAAAGTACTACTGGGTTTTAAAAAAAATATCAGTAGTAGCACGGAGTCTGGAATTGTGCCCAGTATATATGGAAATAGGTTCACCCCCTATTACATGGGACTCATAACATAAATAGTGAAAAGTGGGTGTTACATTGTACAGTGGCATAATATACACCTCTGCCTACCACTTCGGGATAAAAAGGCGTGATGTTATGTTAAGTTATGTTATGCTATATCATTACTACCAAGACATAACGACCCATTTGCCATAAACTGGGCACAAGACTTAGAACTGTTACTGAGAACCTACAACAAAGTAAGGCTGACAACACTTGCTTCATCTAAACTCGAGAATCGAAACCGAAAACTCGCTTGCGAACCCCTCAACCGATGAATCAGCTTTAATTTATCTAATTTAATGTTGAATCGGCATTTCGATAATTACGTAACACTACTATTTAGTTTAAAAAGATAACAATTAATATTTTTTATCTTACCTCGATTAACTGATAATGGTTATCTTTCACGTAATATTAGTCGTGTATTCGTTGTATTGGGGTCGACAGAAGTTATGAAGGTATTACGTGGCCCAATCATAGTTCTTATTTTTTTAATTACATCATATTTTCTTTTTATAGGTACTTAAGTTCATTGACCTCTGTTATAAATGAAACAATAAAATTATATTTTAGAGACTGCATTCCCACAGTCAACGTATTGGTTATCGTAATAATAAAATAAATGTGTATTTTATTAACTTTTAAATTATAATGTCAAAAAATCTGCCCTTTACTAAAAAACCAGGCAATAGTACGTACAGCTAAAATTTTATTTCCATTTCCATTTAATTTAATTCAACACATCCTAACAGGTTACACCCAATGCGATAATGTTGTCACTTAATGTAAAAACTTATAATTAGTATTAATAAAAAAAAACTTAAATAAAAACTTAATATAAAAACTTATAACAACTATGTACTTATCCATTAACTACATATGTACAACTAACAACATCTACATGTACAACTAACAACATTTTATACCTGACTAGCTACTTACGCGCGGTTTCACACGCTCTGCTCAGCTCCTATTGATCGTAGCGTAATGTTTTATAGCCTATAGCCATCCTCGATAAATGCGCTATCCAACACAAAAAGAATTATTCAAATCAGACTTGTAGTTGCGGAGATTACCGCGTTCAAACAAACAAACAAAAAAACAAACTCTTCCGCTTTATATAATAGTATAAGATATAAGATAATTCTAAGAAGTTTCAAGCACTTTGCCAACCTTTTGGAAATTTGGTAACGGAATTGAACACAAGTCGACACATCACGACTTAACTTTTTTCACGCCAGATTTCTGTGAGACAGTGGTATCATCTCACCAAAGCCAGACCCATTCGCGCCGAAGCGTAGTAGTTAAACATAACTAACACAAGACCAAAACAGTTTAACGAAATATTTCTTCAATTTCCAGGCAAAGGTGAAAGTATATGGGACAGATTTTCCCATGAACACCCAGAGAAGATAGCTGATGGTAGAAATGGAGATGTAGCGAGTGACTCCTATCATCAGTGGAGAAGAGACGTGGAGATGTTACGAGAACTGGGCGTGGACTTCTATAGGTTCTCCATATCGTGGCCCAGGGTTTTACCTACAGGTAATGATATATGCTACTCTGTAAAAGAAAAAAATGTGAGGTTTGTAAGTAAACTCTTTCCAATAGGTAAGTGTTTGACTGTGACTGTGAGAGCGAATTAAATTGGTACGTTCTACGATAGTTACTATATTGTAGTGTAATTAAACTGTCAAACACCAAGCGGTCACCGGTGACCGCAACCTATTGTTCTATAATTGTGTCTACAGAGACGGTACTCGACGATTAAAGTTAAAGAAATGGTATTAATTGGTTAAATTCATGACGTAAGTTCTATCGAGCAAAGTATTACGAAATAAATATTCGATCGCAAGTGCGACTGCCGGGGTCTCGGTTTCGATTCCCGGGTCGGGCAAAGTATTACTGGGTTTTAAAAAAATCTCAGAGTCTGGAATTATGCCCGGTATATGGCAATAGGTTCACCCCCTATTACATGGGACTAATAATATAAATAGTGAAAAGTGGGTGTTACATTGTACAGTGGCATTAAGTGCTGTAGTGTGCACCTCTGCCTAACCCTTCGAGGATAAAAGGCGTGATGTTATGTTATGTTAAAAGATGTTAGCCATAATCTCTCCGCATTGCAGGCTACTTGAAAAATCTAGTTAAAAAGGTTCAGGTCATCAGGTTTATCAGAGAGCGTTGTTACCTGGTTCCTGTCACCTGTATAATCCCTTAGTCCGCTCTTACGATGCCCGTATTAGGAGTAGGAGTAGTACCCGTGTTTTCTACTCAGATCTCAACCTATGGTTATAACAAATTTTGTTTACAAGTGACGCAATACAAATCCACTTCACCTTTTAGTCCCGTCTATGACCTATGTAAACGAAACCATCCAGTCCCTCTTAACTACATGGGTCAGACAGATAAAGAGTATGAAACAAATAGTAGTCACTCAAGAATTGACACAAACATAATTATAATGTTTGTATTGCATAAACATTTACACAATGAGCTATTTTTAGCAAATACTTCGACGTGACTGTTGACCTTAGTAGTTTAATAATAAATAACTTATCTTATTAATCTATTATACACAGGGGCGTAGCTACAGTGGTATCTATGATATGAGCCCCGAACTATCGAGGTGCCTAATAAGCGAAAGTGAAATTTCCCAGATATGTCATTCCCGACTCAATCCATCCATATTCTCTCCAAACACTAAGTGCTCATCTAATCACCAAGAAAATTAAATCTCTTGTTCATTCTTAACAGGATTTCCAAGCAGCATCAACGAAGCTGGCTTCAAATATTATGATAATTTAATAGACGAACTCCTCAAATATGACATTCAACCAATGGTCACCCTCTACCACTTCGACTTGCCCCAAGAGTTAGAAGACTTGGGAGGTTGGACAAATCCCCTATCAGTCTCCTGGTTTGAAGATTATGCGAAAATAGTCTTTAAAAGATACGCGGAGAAGGTGAAGTTTTGGATAACTATAAATCAACCAAATACTATTTGCATGGAAGGTTATGGCAGTGACCTCATGGCTCCAGGGGTGAATGTTAAAGACGTTGGGGCTTATGAGTGTGTGAAGAATGTTCTGTTAGCTCATGCAAAAGCTTACAGGCTTTATGAGAAGGAGTTCAAGAAGGAACATGAAGGTGAGATTGCTATTATTAAATGCCTGGTAAATGTAGATGGTGGTGTTATTTGGAAATTTATCATTTCGTTCGGATAAGATAAGATGCTAATTATTATGTTTTCGGCTTACTTACGTTACTGTTTGACGCGGTACTCCACTAGTTTTAAGCCATGCTAGAGGCTCATAGTCGCTGCTTCAAACTAGTCGAGTTCCTTGTCAAACAGAGCTGAAAACATAATAATTAATTTAGTATGTCTCACTAACGTTAATATAAAGATAAGATGTGTTTGTTTTATGACTAGTATTTTTACAATCGTTAGACAGTTTCGGTCCTATCGGCCTGGATTAAAAGGAGAGAAGAGATCAACCAAGAAAAGCGCCAAGATTATTGTGATTTACATAAAACTAATTACTGTCTTAGAGCACACAGAAATATTATCAGACAGAATGTTGTCAGATTATTTTTGCACCAAGTAAAATAATATATGTGTATAACGTTAGGTACATCATTTGACATTGCAGAAATCACCTGTTTAAATATTCAGCTAAATTATGTTCGGTTTGTTAGTAGATAAATAATATATTTACTGACATTTGAAGAACAAAGTTTTTGTGTTGATGCATATTTGTTAATATATATTCTCTATATTATTATTATACAATGCTTAAACAATAAAAGAATTATGTTTTAAAATGATAATAATAGCATTTCATGATGCACTTCTGCAGAAGTGCTCAGAACTTACTTATTTTCAGACTGGTCAAACAATTAAGAGTTTTTGATTGTTAATAATATATATAATGTTTCAGGTAACGTTGGCATTGGAGTGGCAGTCAACTGGTTCGAATCCTTGGATCATAATAACACAGTCAATAAGGAAGCTGCTGACAGAGCAAGGGCGTTTGAGGTGAGTGATAGCCGTTTTAGATAGATATAAAAATATTCTTATACATAGAAAAAAACCATTATCGAACTCACAAATGCATGCAATACAATACTGCCTCTGGCTAGGAATTTCTAAATTTATACCGCTGAAAATTAACAAATTGGTTTAGTTTGAATTGGCAATAATGCAATGCGACTGATCAAAATGAAAGAACCTGATGACCTATTGAATGGCCTTAAATTATTATGTATGAAATATCAGGCGAAAATCAAATTTTAAAGTAAATCTTACACACTGAATAACAAATAAAACAATCTAGAACGGTAACTAATAAAAAACCATACCATACATTTTCCAGTTCGGCATATACCTCCACCCAATATTTTCTAAAGAGGGTGACTTCCCTCCTATCATCAGAACCATAGTGGACAAGAAGAGTCAAGAGCAAGGATTCAAGACCTCCAGACTGCCAAAGCTGTCTGCTGAAGAAATTAAGTTGCTTAGAGGTAATTTAAAATATATTTAATATATTTTAAACGTTTCATCACACCAATATATGATGTTTGTGTGAACCAAACATATTTTCACTTATACGTCACACTTAGGCTCAAACAAAGTCGCGGAGAACCTAACGGATAATCGGGGCTCCGACTCGACGTGCAGGAGAAGGAACGGGGTGGTTTTTAGTCAGTAAAAGTCTGACACTCCCTCCCGCCTCACCCAGGCGGGAGCAGCCATTCGATGATTTTCCCCCTTAAAAAAAGAAAAATAAGGTTCAAACAAAACAACGGCCTGTTTTCAAATGGACGTAGGCCTCTTTAGAATACGTCACTGAGTTTTAACCTTTATATCAAATCTGTACTACTTAGATTTGTCGCAGAGAACCTAACGGGTTACCGAGGCTCCGGCTCAAAGTGCAGGAGAAGGAACAGGGTGGTTTTTAGTCAGTAAGAGTCTGACACTCCCTTCCGCCTCACCCAGGCGGGAGAAGTCATTCGATTATTTTCCCCGCTTATAATAAAATCTACTTAGATTTCCTACTTTTCCAGGTTCAGCAGATTATCTAGGCATGAACCACTACACCACATTCCTAGTGCAACATAGCAAGGAGAAGTTCGAAAGTCCTTCAGTAGAAGATGATCGCAACACTATATACTCACAAGGTCCTGAATGGACTTCTGGTAAATCATCCTGGCTGAAGGTAAATAATTATATACATTTTTAACACTATCAACTTGATTGTAATAGATCCATGCAATCAATCGTTGGATTATAAGCCTGCTCTACATAAGAAGGCTTGCCACAGTCTCAGGCGAGTTGGAATTTGGACATCGGAGTTTAATAGATTCAGGTTCATCAAAGACTATTGCTACCTAATTTTAAATAACTTATATAGTCCCTTAGTTGGCTCTTATAACACCCACCGAAAGACTAGGGCTAAGCACATAAAGTTGTCTATGACAATATCAATAACGACGAAATAATTTGAACATCTTTTTCCAGAGTGCACCGTACGGCCTCTACAAAGCTTGCGTCCACCTCAACCTGAACTACGACTACCCACCAATTATCATCACGGAACATGGTTGGTCTACCGACAAGGGTCTTGGAGACCAGTCTAGGGTGAACAATATGAGGGGGTACTTAGGAGCCCTACTGCTGGCCATGGAAGATGGGACACAAGTCAAAGGGTACACGGTGTGGAGTCTCATGGATAATGTCGAATGGACCGCTGGTACCAGGTAGGTAGATACTTGAAGAGGTTTTTGTGGTGGAGGTTTTAATATGAGAATTGGGTAGTGTCCAGGGTATCAAAATCAAGAATCTAATTAGTCCGTCAGTTAGATATTCAAATAATATTTACGTATTTTTTTATTTTCTCGTACTAAGTTGCAATACTTACATAAAATGACGCTAAGTTTATGAGTGGGAGGTCGTTACGTCATAACGTGCTACAAAATATGACACGCTATGACATCACACGATATTTCAAATTAATATATCGTCGAAAGTAATTTAATTTTGTGACAAAAGAAAAAATACGTGTCTAAAGTTTTAAATTAATATACCAAACGGACATTAAAATAAAAATTAGGAAACTACCCTATTGTGTTTGGATGTAGATAATAAAGGAAATCTTATGTTGCTTAGATGTGCCTAGATATTTTTTTGGATTTCATAGACATACGTCACTCAAACAATAAAACCTTTTTCAGTGAACGTTTTGGCCTCTACGAAGTGGATTTCGAATCAGAAACTAAAGAGAGAACAGCTCGTCTCTCAGCTCTAGTCTACAAGCATATCATAGAGACAAGAGTCGTGGAAGATGGATGGAGCCCAAGCAGTTTGAAGATAGAAATAACTAAGAAGAAAGATGAAAAGAACAATAATTACAAAGGAGAATTATGATGCTCTCCCCTACTTTCAACGCATGTCACTTGAGTCATGCAATGTTTTCTTTTTCAATTTTCTATTTTCAGAAGATGACTGAAAACTGTTACAGTCTGGCAAACGAAAGTAGAGACTGAAAAAGCCCGGCAAATTTAAAAAATATAAGTATAGCAACCCAAAAATTAGTATGTCATACCTGGAGTAATCAGACTTGAAGACGTAACAAACAAACAAATTATTATAAAGTATCAAATTAGGTTACTTCAGGTATGACATACTAATTTTTGGGTTGCTATACTGATATTTTTTAAATTTGCCGGGCTTTTTCAGTCTCTACTTTCGTTTGCCAGACTCTATTGTGAATGGAAATTCATGATATAACTAACGTATTAATTTTGACATAAATTATCGGCGTTATCTTAAATCTTGACCTAACGCTCAGGGCAGTGATAATTGTGAACCATGAACTAATACAATCAATGTTTAGTTTATTAGTCCATGGTCACATTTCTCATTAATTAATTTCTACGTGCTACTTACAATAATGATTGATAAATAGGTATTTTGTAAACTGTACTTAAGTATTTTTATGCAAAAAATAATAATTGTTTAAATCTATTTATAATATGTAATGTTAGAATATTGTTATTTCTTTAACAATAATTATTTTTAACTTTTTTCATCAAACGACATCAATCAAATATCATAGGAACTATTAAGGCTAAGAGTTTTAATAATCAACTAGTTAGTGCCTAACAAATAAGACAGATGTCGCTGAACTATATTTACCAGTTGTATGATTTGAAAATCAGAGGGCGCCAGTTGCTTTCTTTGTTAAACAATTGAAATTAGTGTCCTATTTCTCGTACTGTGAAATGAAAATAAAAGGATTTTCTCTTTGACAGTTAGTATAATGGTGAAACATTGATTTTTTTTCTTAAAATTATTACCTACTTACAATGATTTAAATATTGACAAAACGTTTTTATACTACTAAATTACCTAAGTTTATCAAATAATTTAGTTCCTAATTAATTCCGAGACTCATACAAACTTAATTTTAAATGAACTTAACAAACAAATTATTTGTTAAAATTCAACAAGTTTTTATCTCAAACACAAGAGGGTTTATTACATGCCATAACAATCATAATGACCAGATTTCGGTACACTACAATACACTTACGAACCGAAATAGGTAGCCATTGCAAATCACTAGTTTTTGGGGTTAGAAAAACTAAACAACAAATCAATTTGAACTATCTTCCTTAGCGGCTAAAGTCCACTTTTAAATACAACGGTCGTCGGGCAAATTCCCGCCACCCGCGGCGATTGTTTATGGCGCATTTTTTTTAAATTCTTTGTTGCATTTTTTTAATTTTATTGTTAGTAAAAACTAAATAGCGTATGTAATTCGCGTCCAAATTGGATCGAGGGCTTGTCGTTAATCTTTTGTTTGTATTGTTCAAATATTTAGGTTTTTTCATATATTATCAAGTATTTTTATATTTTATTTCTTTTAAACGCGATCGGTTGTGAAATAAATAGACAGTGATGGAAAAATGAAAGTGATGCCGCTTCTAGGCTTTTTGTATTCCATTGATGTTTTTTATTCTATGACGTGTAGTTTCTGTCATAGATGTTGGTAATTTGGTGTGACCTATTTTTATTTATTTTAAAACAAAACGTATCATATTTAGTAATTTGGTAGTTTTGCCTGCAATAGTTTCCGGAAGTTTTGAAAATTAAAATTTTGTAGATTTTGATGTGCTTGAGGTGTGGTAATATTTTTGTCACAAAATTCCCATAAAAATGTACTTTGCAGTGGTCTGGCGCCAAAACTACTTATATTACAAAAAAGCTATTTAGACATGAACTGTAGAAAATTGTGAGTAGTTTAATTTTGTAGTTAACGGTTTGCTCGTAAAATGCATAGGAAAAGAGATATTGTACAAAATCTTGTTTTGGCCTGCATTTTTCGAAGATGGCGACGCAAATGTCGCACGGATACAAAGGTACAATATAGAAATCAAAAATAGCACACCACAATCTACAATATTGCCGGTTTTCAAAACTCCTGGAAAAACTTCCAGGCAACCCCATATTTCCTCCCTATTGACCGAACTGTAGGTCATATTAGTACCATTTTTATATGATTTTGCGTTGTCGAAAAGATTGCAAACCTCTGTCTAATATATTTAAAAAAAGCAGGTGTGTTCTTAATTTAAATAATCAACAAATTAACCGCTACAAACGCAACTTAACCTTATCACAGAACTCAGTAACTTAGCTCCAAAACTCATAATAATTCCTCACACAGCATAATAATATATGTACCTATATCTCATAAATAATAAAATGGATATACCTACCTATAGATACCTACGTATGTATGTGTGGATGTTGAAGGGGGGAGGGGAGAACTTTTATTATATTTGTAGGATTGCGTCAAAAATGTACGGGATGATGCGACGTCGTGCGTAACATACATATTTATATGATAATGGAACGTGGCAAGTGAGGAAAGGGATTTTGTTTATTCTACTGGCTTTCTATTAAGGCTTAAATTTCAAAATGGCCTCTAGGTTTTCTAATTACTAAGTAGTGTTAAAAATATATCTTAAAAGAGTGACGTTTTAGTAATTCTTATGATAAAGTGCCTTTTAAATTACGCATCATCGCAACTTTATGGCAGCCGTCCCGAACGTACGGCGCCGAGCGTTCCACGCGCGCCTCAAAGAGCCGTCAGACCACCACAGATGGGGCCCAACAGGGCTGATGCCGATTCGGAGTCGCGGAGAACCTAACGGGTAACCGGGGCTCCGGCTCGACATGCAGGAGAAGGAACGGGGTGGTTTTTAGTCAGTAAGAGTCTGACACTCCCTCCAGGAATTCGATGATATTCCCCTCTTAAAAAAAATGGCACCTGGTACCTACCTATTTAAAGTTACTAGCATGACAGAAAGCGTACGCCACACATGACAACCGGGTACCCGCCACGTATGGTACAATGATATACCCGCGCCTCGCCCTGATCCTCTAAACTTCGCAACAAATCCGGTAAGTAGCACTCTTTATTATATTACTATACATAATACTGACTGTCCTTTTGTTTGTCAATTTATTATATATACGTACTTGTACCTATACACTGACTGAATTAGTTTAAAAGTAACAAATAAGAAGTGAAAGTAACGTACTGTATATACAGATGAACTTAACAAAAAATAGATACATACTTCGTTCTCATAGTGTTTTACAAACCCGCCCCAGTCCGCGGCACGCCACTAGTTTCGAAGCATCAGACAAATCCAATTCAGTAATAACACCAATATTGCTGATACCCTACAAATATGTACGCTTTGATCATATGCCTTTCTCTTTTTAATTTCGTTTTCGTTCCTTTATACCTCGTACGGTAAATTGATTGAAAGATTTGTATATTATTATGTATAGGTACACCCCTTATATAACATAACATCACGCCTTTTATCCCCGAAAGGGTAGGCAGAGAGTAATTATTTGACTTAACAATTTTATTTACATATTTTATTTTGATTTTATTTTTATGACGTCAATTATTTTATTTCTGATTGTAACTAACACATAACATGTGTTCATTGTAACTATTTCATTTTGACTTTTATACATTAACTAGCTTCTGCCCGCGACTTCGTACGCGCAATCCCATTTTCCCTCCGTTCCCGTTCGTGATTTTCGGTAAAAAGTAAAAAAAAAGTATTCTATAAAAAGTATCCTATGTCCGTCTCCTGGTTCTAAGCTACCTCCCTGCCAATTTTCATCTAAATCGATTGAGGCGTTCTTGAGTTCTATATTGTAACTAACACGACTTTCTTTTATATATAATAACTATTTAGATTTAAATTCGATTATATGTTACATTTTGATATTAGATATTTGATGATAAATGTCAAAGTTATTTAAAAAAAATGTTAACTTCATTGATCAAATGTTGCTGTAAATAAAGGTAACTTAGCTTTAAGCTTATTGTAACACCTTATTCACATTATAGTATGCAAATAAATGAATATGAATATGATACAATATATATAACACAAAAAAAGAGCGTATTCCTTTTTAAAAGGCCGGCAACGCACCTGTGACTCCTCTGGTGTTGCGAGTATCCATGGGCGGCGTTGATCGCTTACCATCAGGTGATCCGTCTGCTCGTTTGCCTCCTATGCCATTAAAAAAAATGAATATGAGGTGCACACAGAAGTAACAGTAATAGGGGATGAGCCTATTGCCTTATACCGAGCTCTTAATATAACATAACATAACATCACGCCTTTTATCCCCTAAGGGGTAGGCAGAGGTGTACACAGAAGTAACACCCACTTTTCACTATTTATGTTATCCCATGTAATAGGGGGTGAGCCTATTGCCATAATTATACCGGGCACATTTCCAGACTCCGTGCTACTACTGAGGATTTTTTAAAAACCCAGTAATACTTTGCCCGACCCGGGAATTGAACCCGAAACCCTTTGCCCGGCAGTCGCACTTGCGACCACTCGGCCAACGAGGCAATCTCTTAATATAGTATAATAATATACCTCTAATATAATATTTTATCAGGTATATCAATTCTTCGAAAATATTGATTTTAAAAGTTTAGGGACAGTGACGAATGTTCGTTCCTGTTTCACGAAGTACCTATACTATAATATATAGTATATTAGGGTGGAATTTTGGAATGCCACCTGAAGGAGAAATACTCATAATACTTAAAATAGAAATTTTACTCAAATAAACGTTCCTTTATTTTTGAAAATAAACGAAACTGCGTTCAAAGATTTTTTAAATTAGCTTGCTTCACACGGTCATCGAACCGACTAAAATCTGTAAAAGTTTGCACTCTGTAATTTTACCTATTGCATCGATCGTTCATTGATTTTGTTTTCCTTTCATTAAACTTATAAAAGTTTGTATGCGAGATTTCGTCCTTATTGATCCTAACAATCGATGCAATAAATGTGCATGTTGCAACTTTTACAATGCCATTAATTAGGGGGTGAGCCTATTGCCATATACCGGGCACAATTCCAGGCTCCGTGCTACTACTATGATTTTTTTTAAAACCCAGTAATACTTTGCCCGACCCGGGAATTGAACCCGACACCCTTGCCCGGCAGTCAACACAATGTCAGTACAATACAATGTCTT